AAAGCTTTGCTGAAACCTGTCCAGCATGGTAGCAACATGCAAGCCTCCACTGACAGATGAGTGGTGGCTGCATATGAGGTGCATTGTCTGGGAATCAAACCCAGGTCTCCACATGAAAGGTGAGAATTCTACCACTGAACCATAGGTCACATAACTAGTTACATAGGTCACATAACTAGTTAGTAAGTAATGTGGGGCCAGGGTTCAAACCTGGGCCTGTCTAACTCCATCTCCCCTCTCAATCACTAGGCCATGCTGCCTCCCTCTGGCTTATTACAGGTTGTCGAAAAACCCTAGAACATACCACTGGAGACCTAACTTTAGATCAGTCCTTTATTTCATTCACTAATTTATTCTTTCATTAAAGGAGACCCTCTTAACATGATAACCATAGCCATCCTTTGCTGGTATACGACTACTGTTGGTAATCTTTAAGACGTGCCAGAAGACTGGAGATGGTTGTCCAACCGGTGCTAATCATACTGTTATCCACACCACATTCCTCCAGCTTTTCAAGGAAATAAAGACCTGGGATGAGAACACAGCTTGCTAAAATCATGCTGCAGTAAGTCTGTAGCATTCTTCTGATCCTCCAACCAGTTAACCCTCTCAAAACAGGAAATAAGGTTAATTTGGCAAGATTTGTGCTTAGTGAACCAATACTACTTATTTTCCAAGTGTTCACAAGCTGTCCATTTAATAATCTGCTCTCAAATTCTGCCAGCAGTTGATGGACACCAAGCCTGTTGATCTGTAGTTTCTTAGATCTCCTTTCCTCTTCTTTAAAATATCAACACAACAGTTTTCCATCTCTAGTCTCTTGGTATTTCTCTGCTGCACCATGATTTCCCAAAGGTCTTGAGGCAGTGGTACTGCAACCCCATCTGCACATTCCTCCTGTCTCATCTCCAGAGGTGGGATCTGTGTGGGCTTGGGAACCCACTGAAGGCAACAAGGCACTTGCCTGCTCTCCTCTCCCCACCTAGGGCTCTGGATCCTTCTTAAGCGCATTTATCCCAGCCTTTCCAAGATGAAGCACGTTCTTCTTGTTGGAGAAGGCAGAGAGCGCCTAAGAGCTGAGTTGTTATGTTTTCTCTCTGTCTTCTGTTGCCAGCAGACCATTGCCCAGTAGTAGGCATAGCTTTCTTCCTTGTTGTTTCTTCAAACAACCTTCCTGTTGTCCTCAGCATTTTCACTAGCCTCTGTGTGATAGATTCACTTGTGTCCCCCCAAGAAATGTGTTGTATATCCTAATCCCTATACCTGTGGTTATAATCCCATTTGGGAATGGGTTTTCTTTATTATATTAATGAGACAGTATTAGTGTACGGTGTGTCTTGAAACAATCTCTTTTGAGACATAAAAGAGCCGATTATGAAAGCAGCAAGTAAGTAGAGATGGGGAAGATACAAGCCACACGATCGCCAAGGAACCTAGGAATCGAAGCTGAAAAGAAACAAGGGCCCTGAAGTCTTCTTAAAAACCAAATGATAGTTTAGCTTAACTAGTGTTATGGATTGAATTGTGTCCCCCAAAAATATGTGTATCAATTTGGCTAGGCCTTGATTCCCAGTGTTGTGTGATTGTCTACCATTTTGTCTTCAGATGTGATTTTCCTATGTGTTGTAAATCCTGTTACTATGATGTTAATGAGATGAATTAGCAGCAGTTATATTGATGAGATCTACAAGATTAGATTGTGTCTTAAGCCAGTCTCTTTTGAGATATAGAAGAGAGAAGCGAGCAGAGAGGCATGGGGACTTCATACCACCAAGAAAGAAGAGCAGGAGCACGCATCCTTTAGACCCAGGGTCCCTGCACTGAAGAGCTTCTAGACCAGGGGAAGATTGATGACAAGGACCTCACACCAGAGCTGACAGAGAAGAGAAAGGCTTCCCCTGGAGCTGATGCTTTGAATTTGGACTTGTAGCCTACTAGACTGTGAGAGAATAAATTTCTCTTTGTTAAAGCCATCCACTTGTTTTATTTATTATAGCAGCACTAGATAACTAAGACAACTAGTAAAAAATGTCTGCCTTGAGCATTATGCTCTTTTAAGAACTATATGGGATCAAATTGACAACAGCAAAGATTAGATAGGAATCTTAGGGGGCAGTGAGTTTATGTTAATGGGGGAGAAACAACTCAGAAAAGGAGGGTGAGAATGGTTTTACAACTCGAAGAATGTAATCCATGTCACTGAATTGTACATGTAGAAACTGTTGAATTAGTGTATATTTGTTGTGTATATTCTCACCACCAACAACAAAGTAGATAAAATTTTAAAATAAAATTTTTAAAAAAGACAAAGACCTTCCTCCAGAGAGAACAGAGAGAGAGAGAGCCTTCCCCAAGAGCTGATGCCCTGAATTTGGACTTCTAGCCTCCTAAACCATGATAAAATACATTTCTGTTTGTTAAAGCAACCACTTGTATTTCTGTTGTAGCAGCAGGTGATGACTAAGACACTTGGTCACTCTGAAACTTGACCTTCCTGCCGCTGTTCTTATACACGCCTACCATGCTTCATTTTCATCCCTGGCCATGCCCACCATCCATCTCTTAGTTGTATCATCTGAAAATCCCAGTTAACATGATTATCTCCAGGGGCAACCCTCTTTTCTTCATCATTAGGATTCTTTGAACTTTAACAGTCAAATGTGTTTTCAGAACTTCCCATCCACAGAGATAATGGTTTCCAGAGTACCCAGGTAAAAACAATAGTATTTATTGTTTATAGAGAGGGAGTCCCAGGGTAGTGCAAACAGTTAACATACTTGGCTGCTAATGAAAAGGTTGGTGGTTTGAGTCCACCCAGAGGCTCCTTGGAAGAAAGGCCTGGCAATCTACTACCAAAAAATCAGCCATTGATACACGTGGGGTCATCATGAGTCGGAGTCGACTCGATGGCAACTGGTTTGGTTTCTGGTTTATAAAGCTGTATAAGTCCTTTATATACCGTTGTCCTTTTTTCACAACAGGATTAGGATATAGGTTACTCTTATTATCTTCATTCTATAAGATAAAGAAACTGAGACCCAAAGAAGCTAAGCAACATCCTCTCAAAGTCATAGTTATTTTATGGTGGAACTCCAGAATCCAAGTTCTCAACCACTTCCCTAAAGGCCTCTCCTGAGCTTCATGACAGAGAAGGCAAACCTGGCCACAAAGCTCCCAGAAAGAGCTATCACAGGCCCTGATGCAGTGGCATGTCTGAGACTTCCTGAGCCAGGACAAAGGGCCTGCACACTGAAGGAGAAGGAAGAAGAGGAAGAAGTTCTCAAAACAGTAGCCTGCTTCACAGGGTGCTGAGATGCTTAAATGAGATCATGCATTCATTCACCAAATATGTGTCCGCCATTGGTATAACCTCCATGAAACCATTTAGGTGTTTAGGAGATAACAAGCTCATGCTTCTGGAACACCTCTCTCCATCCCCTTCCACATCCTCTCTGGAGCCCCAGGACATCTGGGTTCCCTCAGGACAAGCAACTTGGAGCCTAAGTATCTGAGCAACAACCATCCCTGGTCATCCTAAGCCTATTTCTGTTCCAGACACCCAGACAGCACAGAGGCAAAGGAGATGATGTTTCTGGATTTGGCCAAAGGAGTAATCACAGCTCTTTGCTTAATAAGGCCTTTAAATTATCTCAATAAAGAGGAAGCTAAACACTTAACCACTATGGAGAGTATTTTATTGATTGGAGGAGAGGCTCTGGCCTGCCTGCCTGGGGTTGAGCAGGAGCCAGGCCAACCTGGTCCCAGGGGACAGCTGCAGGGTGTGAAGTGCTTAAGAGTTTCTCTGAGCTCTGGAGAACAGCCGGCAGTGTCCAAAAGTGGCTTCAGGACTTGAGGGTCTGGGTTTGGGAACTCATGGTACCCCTCAGAGACGGGGGATGATGAAAAAAAGATAAAAAACA